AAAGAAATCAAATTAACTACATCTGTGGAAAGAGAAATTGGGAATGTTCCATATAATCAGCCAAAACAAGGCTAAGAGCACATCATCAAGTGCTGATAATGCAAGTTCAAGTTGAAGTTGAAGAAAATGTAAACAAGTCTATGAAAGCCAAAATATGACCTTGAACACATCCCACCTGAATTTAAAGATCATCTGAAGAACAGATTGATGCATTAGATGCTATAGGCCAAAGACGAGAAGAGTTGGGGGATGACATCAAGAACATCATACAAGAAGAAGGCAAAATGTCATTGCGAAGACAAGAAAGAAGGAAAAGACCAAAATGGATGTCAGAAGAGATTCTGAAAATTTCTCTCCAGTGTAGAGATGCTAAAGCAAATGGAAGGTAGCTCAAAAGAGGGACCAAATCTTTACAGCGAGGATCATTCCCACCCCCTCCATACACAGAGTAGACAGGGATGGGCAACTTGGACACTGGCTACCCAAAATGGGGGGGGGTGGGGATGCTACAAAGGCAAGAAGTGACTGCCTTACAAACTTTCAAGAGGGAGCCTAGATCTAGAGGGTGTGGAGGAAGGTAGAATCTCCACTGAGTAGGATCCATTCTGTCCAGGCAGGGCTGATGAAAGGCGATGCGGATAGGTCTCTTGTGATACAATAGTGAATAATTATTATCAGGAATGATTGTGAGGGTAGGAAATGTAAAGGTAGACGTTTTGTAGCAAAAGGAGGGGAGTGATTGACTTTGCAGTCTAGGAGCGGAGGTCCCTGGGACCATCAAGAGAGAAGAGAGGAGAGCGGGACCCTACCCAGAGAAATAGTGATGCCAGAGATGGAGGCAGAGACAATGACGTGGAGAGATGGAGTGGCTGGGGACTTTCGACACAGAGAGGGAGAGGGGCTGTGTGCTGACAAACAACTTTGGTTGTTTGATGATGCATGGAGGGGATTGTAACTATCACTATAAAACAATATATGATAGGATGAATGTAAAGCTAAAGTTCTCCCATGTAAATTATCACATAATTCACAATAAAACGTTTTAAAAAAAAAAGCAAATGGAAGAAATGAGAAGGTAAAAGAGCTGAATAGAAAATTTCGAAGGTCAGCTGGAGAAGACAAAGTCAAATACTATAACAAAATGTGCAAAGACCTGGAGTTAGAAAACCAAAAGGCAAGAACATGTTTTGCAGTCCCCAGGCCAAGGGAACTGAAGAAAAAATTCAAGCCTTGACTTTGAATATTGAAGGATTGGGCAAAATATTGATGCAGAAAGCATTAAAAGAAGATGGAAAGAATGCACAGAGCTACTGTACCAAAAAGAGATGGTGGATGTTCAACCATTTCAAGAGCTAGCATAAGATCAAGAACCAATGATACAGAAAGAAGTCCAAGGTGCATGGAAGGCATTGACAAAGAACAATGCACTGGGTATTGATGGAATTCAAATTGAAATCTTTCAACAAAATGATGCGGCACTGGAGGCTGTCACTAATCTATGCTAAGAAATTTTGAGGACAACTACCTGGCCAACCGGTTGGAAGAGATCCATATTTGTGCCCATTCCAAAGAGGGGTGACCCAACGGAATGTGGAAATCATCAGACAATATCATTAACATCACATGCAAGTAAAATTTTGCTAAAGTTAATACAAAAATGGCTGCAACCATACATTGGCAGAGAACTTCCAGATGTTCAAGCCAGTTTCTGAAAAGGACATGGAATGAGGGATATAACTGCTGATGTTAGATGGATCTTGGCTGAAAGCAGAGAATGACAGAAAGGTGTTTACCTGTGTTTTATTGAATACATGAAGTTTTTGATTGTGTGGATCATGACAAGCTATGGACAACATTGCGAAGTATGAATATTCCGCAACACTTAACCAAGAGGCAGTTGTTCAAGCAGAACATGGGAACACTGAATGTTTTAAAACTAGGAAAGGTGTGCACCAGGGTTGTATTCTTTCACCATACTTATGCTGAGCAAATAATCCAAGAAGCCAGGTTATATACACAGATGACAGAACTTTGCTTGCTGAAAGAGGACTTAAATTACTGATGACGATCAGAGACCACAGACTTGGGTATGGGTTGCACCTCAATGTAAAGATACCAAAAATCCTCACCACTGGACCAATAAACACATCCATATAAATGGAGAAAAGATTGAAGTTGTGAAAGACTTAATTTTGATCAGATCAACCATCAACACTCATGGAAGCAGCAGTCAAAAAATCAAATGATGTATTGCATGAGGCAAATCTGCTGCACAAGACCTCTTTAAAGTGTTGAAGGGCAAAGATGTCAGTTTGAAGACTAAAGTGTGCCTGACCCAAGCCACAGTATTTTCAATAACCTCATATGCATGCAAAAATTGGACAGTGAATAAGGAAGACCGTAGAAGAATTGATGCATTTGAGTTATGGTGTTGGAAGAGAATATTAAAAGTACTATGGACTGACAAAAGAACAAACCAGTCTGTGTTGCAAAAAGTACAACCAGAATGCTCCTTGGAAGCCAGGATGGCCAGACTTTCTCTCTTATACTTTGGATATATTATCAGAAGGAACCGGTCCCTGGAGAAGGATATCATGTTTGGTAAAGTGGAGAGTTGGAGAAAAAGAGGAAGACCCCCAATGAGATGGATTGACACAGTGGCAGCAGCAATGAGCTCAAAGGTAGCAATGATTATGAGGTTTGTGCAGGATTGGGCAATGTTTTGTTCTATTGTGCATCGGGTCGTTATGAGTCAGTACTGACTCAATGGAACCTAACAATAACAACAAAGCACTCAGAGTATTAATCACTATTTGAGGTAGGGGTGGGGGCCGCCATTCAGTGGTTCAACCACCTAGAGTGTCTGTGACAAAGGTCCTCTTTGCCCAAGTTGCTCTTTATGCCTTGTTTGACCTTTTTCCATCTTCCCTGGAGCATGTTGAGACTCTAAGTAGCCCACCCTCTCATAAGGGAGACATGGTTAAAACATACAACTAGATATGGGAGTGGCACTGGGAAACTCGCCTGTAGAAGGATGCTGTACAGGCCGAGGGTGCTGTGGAGGGAGCCTTGGGTAGGGGGCCAGGGGACTTGGATCCCAGCCCAATCCTGGTACCACCTTGCAGCAAGGCCCTGGAAGACATTTCTTTTCTTGCCTCTCCAGTGCCTCATGGGTCCCTGGCCCACAGGCAAGCCCACCTGGGACTTGGTCCCCATGGTTCTTGGCATGGAATGACCAAGTGACAGGAAAGGTACATAGTCACTGAGGAAATGCCAGACCCCCCACCCCCACCCCAATGCCTGGAGCTGGTCCCACCCAGATGGCCCAAAGCCTTCGTGTTGCCTGTAGAGATACCTACCTTCAGATGACCCTCAACACTCTTCACTGTGACATCTCCCTCCCGCCACTGTGGACCCTTGAAGAGCATGTGTACTGGGCTCCTCACTGCTGGATGGACGCCCAGGTGCACAGGCAGTCTGCCACACAGTTGTTGCTGTTAAGTGTCATCAATCATAGTGTCTTCCAACTCATAGTGATCCTGCTAGGGTTTCTGAGGAGTGGCTGGTGGGTTTGAACTGCTGCCGGTTAGCAGTCCAGAGCTTATCATGCAGCGCCACACCAGGATGATGGGTTTGGACCAGCTCAATGAGTGCATAAATGAATAAACCTCTAACAACCTTCCCCTGTTCCTTCTTATGCCACTCCCATCACGCCCCCACTCCTGACACTCTTCAGAGACATTGAGACCACTTATCTGAATGGACCCATGACACTTGGACATGTGGGCAGAGGCCTTCAGAGTCCAGCCGATTGGGAGTGGAGGGTTGTGTACTTTTCTCAACACCCCCAGAACACAGTCTCCTCCAGGGCCTGTCAGCCCCTCCTCAAGGTCTGTCTGTCCCTCTACATCTGGGTAATCAATTGAGGGTGATGAATGAGAAGGCTGCCACCCACTGAAGCCATGTGGTTGGGGTCAATGGGTTTGTCCCCAGACCAGAAAGCTAAGGCTTCAGACACCCCTACCTGCCCACCCCTCCATAATCCTGCCCACCCCTCCATCCCACAGCATGGTGCAGAGCCCCAGGTAGGAAAATCTCTCTTCTGCTTAACAGTCTGAGATTCCTCTGGACAGCTGGGGAGGCGGGGGAGGCAGGGCGATTCCAAAGGCCAATCTGCCCACCCTGCAGACTAACTGCCCCCACCCTCAGACCTAAGAGGCCCCAGCATGGCCTGGGCCCACAAGGAGAGTTCATTTCAGCTTCCTGGTATCACCTGGAGAGAGCAGTGGGGCTCAGGCATGGCAGCAGAGTCCTTCCGAGGCTCCAGAGCAGAGAGAAAGGCCCAGGGGTTACTGGAGACATGGCTGTCCTCTGTCCCTTCCTGCAACCCTGACCAAGGGTGGAGGTAGGGATGAAGTGTTGGGAGCAAGGGTGGGGGAAGGGAAGCCTTCTTTATAACCTGTTCACCACCATTAACCCCTTCCTGCCAAAGGCTTGGGTGAAGGGCTGGAAGATGCTGGAGGGTGAGTTGGGGCCTGGGGTTTGTGTGTGTGTGTGTGTGTGTGTGTGTGTGTGTGTGTGTGTGTGTGGTGGGGGAATGCTGGGAGAGGTCTGTGTTCTCCTAGTGCCCTCTGTCCCTGGGGTAAGCCAGGAGCGACCAGAAGTGCCCTCCCCGCAGGGGGCGTGTGGCTGTAGGGAAGGACCTTGCTTCAGACCACCTTCCTGGAGCGGGTGTGAGACGGGGCCCGGGGGGTGCCGTGACCTCTGCGTGCTCCCTTCTGAGGGTGCCGCCGACGCGCTAGGATCCTGGCTAGTGCCTCTCCCACTCGGTCGCCCACCCTCGGAGCGCCGGGTCTCTGGGGCTCAGCTCGGGTGCGGCTGATCCCAGAGGGGCGGGTCCACCCCACCCCCAACTCCTTCCTTGCAGCCAAGGAAAGTAGGCGCGCGTCCTCGGCGCGGGGACCCTGGCCCCGACCCCCAACTGAACGTGATCCTCTTACCTCGCGACACGCAGGAGCCCATTACGGGGCCGCGGGATCCGGCCGCTGCGCCTTGGGTGCGTCGGGCCGCTGGGCGCTCATGTCGCCAGGCCCGGGCTGCACGCGCGGCGCCGGCGCAGCTGGTGAGGGGCGGGCGGGCACAAGGGCGCGCGGGGAAGGGGCTCGGCTAAGCCGCCCGTTTGGTCTCAGC